AAAGATCTCTCAACAATACTTTTATTAATAGAGGAGTCAAGAAAAAGGAGAAAAGGGCAAGAAAGAGACAAGTGAATATTTGTAATTATATAAAGACAAGAATATTTTATTATTAAGATACTATTAATAATTTGAATACATGTTTGGATACTAACATCTCAAGGTTTTTGGATAACTATATATACTGTTTTAGCTATTACTAAATATAGCAATATTTGACATTAAATTATTATAACTATATGCTATCAATTATATATTTAGAATCTATAATCACTATAAATAGTAAGTTTGCTAAGTTTTCTAAGAGCATTACTAATTATAAAAACTCTGTTAGTATTACTAATTCATGTTAATAATAGAATAATTATAATATTTGTAGAACTGTTTAAATTGCATATCTCTGGAACTATGGGATCGGTACTCATATCATATGACATATGACTCAGGAAAGGGATTTTATTAGCATTTCAAGGCCAGAGTTCAAAATTGATATTTAACGAGAAATTCAAGTTGTTAATTGTTTTTAAGCTAATATAAAAAAATATTCTTTAAAACAAAATATATATAATTTCTTAGTCACATTTTGGAGATTGATATGTAATGTTAGGAAGAAAAATTGCATTTTTGTGGGACAAATATATAAGAACTATACTATATTGTTTTGTAAGTTTCTCTTTGCTTACCCCTCTTCAAAAGTAATCATAGTCCACTGTCAAAGGTTTTGTATTTTTATATTGATTCCCAATATGCTACCAAATTTGATAAAGTGTTGCTTGACCTCAATGAGCTTTGTGTTTGAAAATATGTCCCAGATCATTATAGATTTACTTTTTTCATCATTTGTTTACTGATCTGTATGTGTGTAAGCTTATTGTCACCTAGATAAGTAATACTATTCTTGTTATGTTATCTGTTGCTTATTGATCACTAAAATCATAATGATTCAGGTTTTCTCCTTGTTGCATTTACTATATATTACAATAAACCTCTAGAAGAGTTAAGAATCTTAATTAAGTAAAGAATTTTTGCATTATTGTTTTGACGAAAGATGACATTGGCATCAATGCTAACTTTGAAACATTCTCTTATATATATAGTTTTCAATTTGACTAGTGTTTTTGGTCTTGATTTGATACTAAGATGTATTACATTACTCTTATAGTCTATTGTTGCTCAGGATTCTTCTTCTATTTCTTTAATAACAGTTTCATTCTATATCTCAAGCTTCTGGAAGGATATTTGTTTCTACTTGAAGGTTTTCCTTATTTGAGCCTTCCTTTGCTAAAGATACACTATCTGTTAGAGGGGCTCCTATTCTACTCTTGGTTTCTTCTATCTATTCACTCTATATTTGTATTTCTCAAGATAATTTCATTTCTATATTCATACTGGCTGCACCAGAAGTTGTTGTCACTAGAGTCTTCTAAGGATTTACTTTCTTACTATCTTGATTAACTTCTGCTGCTACTAGTGTTTGAGTCTTTGTTTACATATTGGTAAGCTTTTTGACATATAATTGATTGAAGAGAAAAACTGTTTTTTTACTTCTTCTTTCTGCTTACTGGTTTCTTTCAATCCTTTGTTATTCAAGTTGTAAAACCTTGAAGCTTCTAGTATTGAAAGCCATTTTTCCTATTATCAAGATTGCTGCATCTCAAATAATTGAGAAAGAGTTTTACTATATTTGATTTAAGTAAAAAGTAATTAAGACTATGGTATAGAGATATTTATTTAGTAATAGTAAAACCCAATTAGCTATTTACTATCTCATGGCCTATTGCCCTTTTCACAGTGGAAAGAAACTAACATACTGAAGCCATGCTAGTTATAATATAAAAGATAAAAGAGAATAAATATTTATCTGGTATTTTATAAATTCGTAGAAGGGATTGTTATGCTGTGAATGAATTTTTATACTTCCTTGTCTTGTTCTTTACCTGTTTAAACTATACCTGAGTGCTTTTGATTCTTTTCAGATCATACATTTCTTCACATATTAGCTTTTAAATATCATATAAGAGTTTTTTCTATTTCTTCATCATGTTTGTAATAGTCTTGGATTTGACCTTCCTGTCTATCAAGATTGTCTTGAGTACTTCTAGTATTTCTTTCAAAACTGCCTCTTTTATAAAGAATCTAAGCTTTCTTGGATTGTCCAGTTTGAGCCATCTGTATATAATATTCTTGAAGTTTTTTTTGTGTTTTTTTTTAACCTGTAAAGAAGTATTTTTAATTAGGATCCTATGAAAGTTTTTTTTTTATGTTTCTATGTTGTTGCTATATAGAAAAGGGTATGTCGTATCTTTAAATATTTTGTATCTAGTATATTTGTTGTCTTTGTAGATTGAGAGAAGTGTGTTGTATAGTTTGTGCAGAGTTGGAAGCTCTTAATATCAGAAGTTGACTCCAAACTTTTACATATGGTGATACTGTCTTAATATATTGTATATATTTATTTTGGATAGATGTATACTATTTAATATATACTACCAGTATATATCTCTAAAATTCTCATCTGTGAAGCTGTTTCATGTTCTATTAAGCAATTTTTACTTGGTCAGTCTGATGGCCTTGTTGACTTGTTTTACTAGATTCTTTTCTGAAATGTCTATTGTTGTAGTATCTCAGGTTATCTCTACTGGAGTAGAACTCTGATGTTGTTTCTTTATATTTATAATCTTCTGGTTAGGTTTCATATGCTGTAAGATGAAATCAATTCTAGCTAGTCTATCTGTTTCTTTATTAAAGAGAATATTGGTATGTATCTTCACTTTATGTAATGTTATGTGTAAATCCTATTGTTGCCTGATATAATTAAATGTATTGATTATTGCATGGTTGGATTTCTTTATTTTCATGAGCCTTGTGTGATTCATGATTTCTGTCAGGTTTGTTATTTGCAGTTTGACTGTCTGTATATAAGTGGACTGTCATATTCTTGTTAAAAGTACCTATCAATATTGTTATAACCATCATTTTTTTTCTGGTTGAGAATATATGAAGTTGGGTCTGTCCCTGAAAGGAGTGTTTTTTTTCTGTTTCGTCTTTAATGATCCAGCTAAACTCTATATGTGATCTGTTTCCATTTATATTTAATTTAATAATTTAATAAAAATTTATTTATTAATAAAACTATAAATTTAATAATTTTATTTAATTATTTAATTTTTAATTTGAAATTTTATAAAATTAAATTATTAAAATTTAAAAATTTTCTTAAGTAAACTTATTCATATATTAATAAAAATATATAATATATATAAAGATTATAATATTTAGTTAATAAATTTTTTATTCATAAATAAAAATAAAAAATTTTTTTTTTACTGTAGTAGTGATCTGCAGGCAATGATGTTAGAAGTTGAAAGGGTATTTAGTTGAACTTCTAATGGAGCAATAAATTTCTCTCGAAGTTGTATTTAGAAAGATAAAACAATCAAGACGAATGAGTTGATTAAAGAATTAGCTTTAGCACCTCATGTTATATGTACAGCTTACAAATGTTAATAAAGTATATGTAACTAGCCTGACAAAGAGCAAAAAAAAAATAAAATAAAATAATAAAAATTTTTTTTTCAAAAGCGAGTGTTCCACACTATATATATATATATATATATTTTTAATTCATAATTATGTCGCAATGGCATGTCTTTATTGAGATATTGAAAAATACTTAAATATTTATAGACTTTCACGAAGCAACTAACTTGTTATTATATATTATTAGTTAAAGGACTATACTACTTAAAAAATATAAGGAGTTCACTAAGCTAATTCAGATTAAACAAAACTAAGTCTAAACTAGATACTCTAAGTCAGATTTATAGAACAATATTTTACTTTTCTAGTAGCTTAGCAATAGTGCCTCTAAGTCAATCCTAGTTATTGTCAACAGTTTGTCACTATTGATTATCCCAAAAAACAATGAATTGCTAAAGTTGATACTGAGAAAAAGAGAAAAGGGGAATGCAAATCAAAGCCCTCCAAAAGATTCTTGCCTCATTTTACAATTTTCTCTCAAAAGGAGTTTGCCTGATTGGGATATTCTTTAAGCTTTATGATATTTGAGAAACTTAACTATTTCTGAAAGTGACTTCAAAAAAAATATTTAAGGAACTTATCCTTCTGCCAATGTACAGATTTGCTTATTACTAGTAAAGTCAGTACCATATTACGAAAGAGTTTGCTTAATCAGGATAAAAAAATCTTTTCAAGAACTTTACCTAATCAGGATAGAAACTTGGAGACCTCAACTTTTATCTAAGAAAGCCTTTTCATCACCTGAGAAATTTAATGAGAGATGGAAGTTAAATCTTCTATTCATATCTGTCACTTGCCTTTTGATATCATAATTGTTTTTTGAAAGTTAAATATACATGATTGGAGAGGACACTTTTTCTAAAACTTTCTTTCCTACATTACCAATGATGTATCAAGACACATAAGTGTAACTAATAGAAGCTTGTTTATATTCCAAAAACAGATATGTTTTGTGTCAGCCAATCATCTTTGATGAGGTCAAAAATTCAGGATCAAACTGAGATAGGCAAAATTTCTTAGAAAACTATGAAAATAATAGTTCAAAGAGGTCCACAAGTGACTGAAAGGGAAAAATAAGTTCTTTTGTCATCAAAAACCTCTATATATTTCTTGATTAAAAGGTTAAATAGGCTTCAGGTACTTCACAATCAGTTCTTCTTCCTTTGAAAACTTTCTTACAATTGGTATCAAAGGTATTACTTGACTTTTTTTGGTCACTAGGAGTCAAGTTTTTGAGTGAAGAGGTTTGTAAACAATATGTGAAGGGTAAAAATTACTCTTGAAGTCATACTTCAAATTGTTTTAAGGAAAGTATTAAGACTTTATTAGCAAGGAAGTATAAAACTTCTTGTGAACATCTTTTTTGTGTGTGGTCAGAGGATCAGCGGAAAGAGTTTATATATATATTTTATTAAATATATAGTGCAATAACAATAAGATATTAATATAAGTGTTCCATACTACTGTATATATTCAAGGCATTTCTATGAAATATATATATATTTTTAAAGGTGACTCAATCTTTGATTGAATATTTATTAACTTTTATTTTGATATTATATTTGTACTATTAATTTCAAAGCTAACTATAATCTACAACAATACTAGCATATATTTTAGAATTGTAGATAAAGATTTCTTCCAGTTCAGATCTTCTATATGGACCTTTGTGACCTGTTGCCTCCCAAAAGAGAAACTAACTTGCCTAGACTGAGTTAATGTTATATTTCTTAAATTTTAAATCAAAAAAGAAAAAGAAAATATATGGAAATTTTAAGTTAAGGTCAAAACTATTGCAGTGCACAGCATGCTTTTAAGAAGTATCTTTTTGATTGCTTCATTTATTTTTGTCTCTTTTGACTTGTTTTGTAATATTTTGTGACTTTTCTTATTAATTAGTTGCCTTGCATCTCTGGTGCTAGACTAAGTGCACCAGGTTCTATATATCTTCTATATATCTTATGGTAATCTTCTTTGATTTTTTCTTGAATATCCTTGCCCAGTGTCTAATATTACTAAATATGTCTTTGGGAATCAAATCTTTAGATACCATTTCAATCCAGAGATCTCATTCCTCCTTTTTGATTTTCATTTTCTATTCTTGAATCTAGTCTTTGCCTTTCTTTCTTGCTTTTGTAGATAGTTTGACATGGAGTTCACAATGAGACTTCTAAAGTCTATTTTGTTCACTTTGCATCTGTATATGTACACTTGTGTTTCTTTTACTTTACTGCATCTAATATATATACTTTGTCTATATATCTCTCTCCTTCTTACATGCAACTTAACTATTGTTAATAAATTCTAAGCCCATATTTTCATTCTAAATGATCTTTGCTAGTAATTATCTTCACTTTCTCAGTTCTGTGATAACTTTTTTTGTATTTAAAATGGTCAACTGTTGCTTTCCAATCAATTTGTTGCATCCAGTATACCAGGTCTTTGTTTCTATCTAAATGACATTATTCTAAGATCTATTTATTTTGAAAGTAGTTTTATACTATTTTTCTAATATTGAGGTCCATAGCTTGATCTCTGTATTTAAGCATGAGATTGTTCTTACTAATTGGCAAGGTAATGAGCTTTGTTATATGCCATTTATACTTTGTCCTTCTTGCTTTACTGTCTATATTTATATGTATTTGATCTTTATTTCTTCTAATTTTCATGACTTGTATGTACAAATTTTTCTGCATGATAAGCACTTTGGTCAATATAATCAATTTTGCTATTCTGCTTTTATTCATTAGGATAGTCAAGGCTGTTGCTACAATCTGACTGTCTGTATTTACCATTACTTCTGTATCTTTGACAAGAATTAAAAGTGCAACTGTTATAGCATTCAGTTTTACTTCTTTCGATGTAACCTTTTCCAGTATTTTGAGGGCTACTATCTTTATTTCTTCTCTGCTCTCTATACTTCTGATATAAAAGACTATTGTGTAAAAGTTTCTAAAGATGTTGGCATCTGTAATGATGATAACTGCTATTAAAGGCCAAAGCAGACAAACAAAGTTTAGAATTTTTACCATGGTCATGTGACCGATGATTGTGACATGATCAAAGCTTATGCGAAACAATCAATTACTGATTATCACCATACATACCCCTTGCAAGCTAGAAGAATATATGAACAATCCATTCACATCAAAAATGTAAAAAACTATGAGCTGAGGTAATAGAAAATTAGCTGACAACAAAATAATTTATGCATAATATAATACTAGAATAGCTATAGTGATTATATAATAGCTCTATGTATAAAAATATATAAATGTAACTTCCTTCAATGACTTAATAAAATGACGAATCTTAAGACGAATCTTTTGAATAGATTGTTATAATAGTAAAGTTATAAGTATTTTTAGCAAAAACTATCTTGAGACTTATCCAAATCTTTTTACACCTTTGCCTTGATTTTGATATTGTTTTGTGTGTATGATAGAAAGACAGACTTTTCTATTTGCAGGTTATATGAGCCTTTGGTCATTAGTAACAGACTTGTCAATTAGCTCATTACACTGCTTTCCAGTTTCTAGTTTGTTATTATAGGTTGGTTATGATAGTTCTGCTACTGACATCCTTTATCCATTTCATACCAGACATACTATTGTTGTTATCTAAATTGAGAACATTCAATAGCTTTGTCTTTGTGACTGTTTTGTTCCACAAATCATATTTGTTATACTATAGGATAATATCAATAATTTGACTTGTCCATTTGCTGTATCGTTTGTCAGATACTGTTACCATTTTCTTGGCAAGCCACTGTATTCCCATTTGAAATCTCTACCATACATATTCATGTGATTCTATCTTGATTCAAGGGGCAATACTAATATAGAATGATTGAAGATAAAGTTGTTTGCTAGTAGTGTCTGATTATAGTTTTAATTTTTATTCTTTTTCTTGAGTTTTCACAGAACTAGTTTACTTATCTCTTTGCTTTTCTATAGGACTATTCATTCAAACCTATTTTATTTGAGTTCCTGGCTGCTTATCTTATCTGAATGGATTATGTTATGAAGAATTTTGGTATAAACTGAAGGCTAGAGATTCTTGACTAGTATATAAAGTTAAGTATATCTATTGTAATAATATTGATTACTTTTTCAAAAAACTTGGATTGCTATCCTTGTAGTCTACGTCTATTTATTCTGCATACCTGTACCCAACTGATTGTTTTTGTTTTGTTGGAATTGAGAAATTGCTTCACTCATTTTAGGTTGTTAAATCTCAGCCTGGCTTTAATCTTGGTAAATCAGTTCTGTCTCATATAGGTCTTCAGGAAGGTGATACCTATTGTTCTTAACTCAACTACTGTTTTGTAAATTTTAAATATGAAACCTAGCTTTTGAGTATTTAAAAGCATGTTTTGCACAAAATTGTTTTCTTTCAGCAATACCTTCAGGTATTTTTCAAGAACATTGATATCTGATCATGTAAGCCATTATAAGTTTCTCACTCTTTTTTAGTATAGTCTTCCAGCATGATTCACTACCAGGTAAATGTTTTCTAGAGTCATGAAATTCTTCTGCAGCATTTTTGTTTTCAGGCTAGATATATTATATTCTAGGTTATTATGAAAGATATTGTTGGGTGCTGATCTGGAAAATCCAGTCTTATGTTTGATTAGTTTTCTAATCTATTTGTCTATCTTGTCCACCTAGTTTTCTGTTATGAAGAGATCTTAAACCATATATTCTATTTTAGAAAAAATTACATGATTTATGATATACTATGCTTGCTTGTTCATGACTTTTCTCCAAAGAAGTCTATTAGTCAGTAATGTGGTTACTTGTTAAATTCTACTTGTTTGATATTTCTTTTTCCCATTTGGATTGAACCATACTCCCAAATATCTTATCCCAGTTTTTTCTACTAAAATATTGTTTGATTCAAAAGTTACCACCAAATCTTTTTTGTTGTTAATCATGATCAGCTCATATTTGCTTGAGTTTACCTTAATATGTGCAAAACTGTAAAAAGAACTTGTTGTACCAGTAATTGTTTCAAGCTTTCTTCTGTCTTCTGTAATTTATGCTATATTATTTATATATATTAGAATTGATGTATTGATATAGCTTTTAATTGTTCTGAGTTTCTCTATATCATATATCTTTGTAATACTATTGTATTCTTTCAGTTTGCTGACCTTGTTAATAAGTGGATAATATTATATTCTTCAGAGAAGAGTAAAGATTGTGTCTCCCTGGTCAATACTATTCTTGACAAGATATGGTTCAATCAGTTCTATCCTTGTAATTACAGTATTTATTCTGGCCTGAAAGCTATTCATTATTATACTAATGATTTTTTTGAATATCTTAATCCTTTTTAATATTTTGTTAAGGATTAAGAGATCAATGTTATTATAGGCCTTACTCATATCTTAAAAGAGAATCCAAAGTTTCTTATTGTTTCCTCTTACATTTTCTATTAGAGTATTAATTTCAAAGATAAGCTTCAATATATTTGTTTTCAGTAGTACTATCTAGTTGTGCTTGAAAAGGATTAGGTGTTACGTAAAAATGTCAAAGAGTCTATTTATCAAGTCTTTTATAAAAATCTTTTAATTGATTCCAGGAAAGTTCTAGATCAGATCTTTGTCAAGTTATTACCCTAGTCCTGTATTTTTAGGATTGGGTATAATATGCTTTTTTTTTATTCATGTGACATTCTGCTACTATCTAGTGCTATATTAAAAATCTCAACAACTTCCTAAATTTCATAAGGGCCTAGGTACTTCAGTGCCATATATGAAATTTGTGATAGGCCTGAAGCTGATATATTACTGACTTTATTTAAGATCCTTTTAATTTCTTCTATAGTAAAATTTCTCATGATATCCTTGTACTATTCTTTATCTACTTTATAATTCAGTGTGAATTCCTTTCATCAATCCTGAAAAATCTCAACACTTTCATGGTTGATCATTTATTCTTCAAAGTTTTCTCTAACTCATAATATTACTTTGCTCTTCATAGTTATTACCTTGGGTTCCTTTGTTCCTATAATTAACTTGTCAAGTTTAATTTATCATCTTTTTCTATAAGAAAGCTGTTTATTATTTTTTTCTTGTTTATAATAAGCCAGTCCATCCTGGCAAATATGGTCTCTTTAATTCTCTTATTATTCTCATAACTATATACTCTGTGTTTTTCCTTTTTAATTTTTTGATTCTCTTGATTATTGAGATTTTATCTATTTTGCATACTTCTGTGTTCTTTAGATTCATGTGAAGTGTGATAATATAATTCTTCCTTAGATTGATTATTTCCAGGATGGTCACATCTTTGGATATTTATTGCTCAATCTCTTCTAGCATTTTCTTTAGTTAGCAGAGTCCAATAAGAAGTAGCGTTGAGTTTCTGTTGCATATGTACTGTTTGTTTTTTATCTTTATTTAGAATTTTTTGAACCTTCTTATATATAAGCTCATTGTTTTCAAGATTATTTCTCTCAGTCTGTTCCACTTTGAGTCTACATTGATCACAATGATTGCTATTCTATTTTTCTCTGACAGATTCATTTTGATATGTTTTATTTACAAGTTCCACTTCTTTGCTTTTATATCAATTTAGTTATACCTTAAGTTCAGCTGCTTCTGGATATGTCTTTTTACTCTATTTATTGAAAAGAAAAGATATATCTTTGTTGATGCTATGGTATAGTCACTTTCATAAAACTATTTAAAGTCCTGTATAATTTTTATCTTAATAACTTCTAGGTATCCATTCTGGAAGATCCAGATCTGATCTATTCTATTTACTAATATTGTATCCCTCTCCCATATAAATTCTTGCCTCTAAGGTTCATGGTTCAGAATGTATCTATGAAATAATTGCTCTTAAGCATATTAATCAGTATACTATTGGTTGAAATCTTGTTTTAGAAATGGCAATGTTTTGTTGAGAACTTATCTATATATGATATGTTCGTGCTATTGTCATCTCTATTAACTATTACCTCTCAATTCTCTTTTTGGCTAATCCCTAGCCACTTAATTACTTCTTTTTCGATTTTTGGTCAGTCTGAGGGATTAGTTAGCGAATGTACTTAATGATTCTGAGATATTTCTTATTTGGAAATACTAAGTCCAACTGAATAGCTCTTCCTTCAATTACTTCCTTACCCATAATTCTTAGGACTAACTTCTTTCTTATTGCTATCCCAATACCTGTTCTTTGTTTTTGCTTAGTATTTGTTTAATGACACTTATTTTTGTTCACTTTCCAGCACTTAGTTATCCAGTTGTTTCCATTGATCTCTATATTAATCACAATATTCTATTTTTCCAGCTGCTATAAATTCATCCAAATTTGTTGAATTGAGTCTTTCATTAGTTCTCTTATATTGGCTGTAGCTATATGTAAAGATGAATCCCTAAAGGGGAGATAGGGACAAAAGTCAAATATTTCTCACTAAGAAATATTAAAATTTTTAAATTACTAACTATAAGAAAACTACCCACAATTGTTTTCTATTATCTAAATCATTAATTTATAGTATTTCCTAACTTTTTTCCCTATTAAAGGGAAGAGTTATAAATTTTGTCTCTCAAAAAGGGACATACTGTAAGTAATTTATAAAATTTTATATGTTAAATACTTTAGAAACCCATTATTAGCTAAATGTATAGATATACCTTTCTTTACTATATTTGTTTCTTGATTCTGGTCACTTTGTTCCTTTAGTTTTATATTTGTGTAAATTTTTGATAGAATTAGTTCATCTCTTATAAGATTATTGTTAAGATTGCTATTTGTTTTCAACTAAAGATCCAATAGTCTCTAGTGCTTTTTGCATGTTTACATATATATCTTCTATTGTCTTGTCAATTTGGTTTTGTCCCTCTCTGATATTTGCAGTATTATTGCCTATACCTGGACTATATGATTCTTTTACATTAATATTAGGAGTGAGGTTTCTCCTTCTTTCTTCACTTTCAGAGTACTGCTCCATTTATCATCAAATTTTTGACTATATACCTCGATATTAAAAACTCTCTCATTCAGATCTAAATTAGTTAAAGAACTTTGTGAATATTGACAGTTTCTTGCTATCTATTATTGATTCTAATAATGTATCTTTGGATCCATTCCTAATTCTATCTTTTTGGTTGATGAATGCTTTTATATGTTGCAGTAGTATAGAATATGGATTTAACCCTTTTCTTGTTTTTTAAGGCAGATACCGACCCAAAGTTTTCTGTCTTAACTAGTTGGAACTTGCTATAAAGTTGCCTATACTTGGTTATTTGCTTATGGTTATACTCTTTTCATTGCCTTCTATGCTTTTGACTGGATACTCCCTTGTATAATAATCTATAGCATCACATATAGGGCATAATTGTATATTTATTAGTACCATGGAGATTATGATCTTGCTGAGAGTATACATTTTATCTTTTGCTATCCACAGGTTTTTTTTTGTTTTGAAACTGACTACTGCAAATTTTTGGAGTTTATATCTGGTTGAGCATGTACAGGGAATGTAGCAGGTGTGGACTTCAATCTGTGAGAGCAGCTATTTTAGGTTTTATGCAATCATATCTAGAGATAGGTTGATCAGTTTGGCTATTATACTATATTTTTTTTTATTCTCTCTAGGAACTATATTGTATCATTAATTCTGATTGTATTATCTCAGATGAAAATACTATGCTTCTCTATCAATTCTTGTTTTGTTTCTTCCTCCTTGAATGTGATAATAGCACTCTGTTACAGGTTCTGAGTTCTATTATTGACTTCTGATATATTGCTAAATTTGAAAAAAGT